AAGTGTTGATGCACTCAGTAAGCCGGATAAGTTGCCAGGTGATAAGAAGTCAATTAGTAACGGACTAAATTCAGAGGCTGATTCATACGCCTTCACCTTGGCAGGGAGTCTGTTCCAGCTCTTAAAGAACCTTACAGTGAAGATATTTGCCCGCAAGCAGGATTTAAATGGGCTAGTCGAGGCGCTGTGGGCGTGGTTGCGCAGATCCTAACAACTACTGTGTTAGAATACTGTCCATTTATACTGAGTGGTGTCTGCATAAACGACAAACATAAAGTAGAGGGTGTCCAAGGGTATTTAACAGCGGGATTACTAAGGCACGATTGAAAGCAGGACTACAGCTCCAGATGCAGAACACTAAGTCTGGAAACACTTTGGATGAGACGACTCAAAATTAACTTGACACTCTTCCTTAATATGTTACATAAACACACTTTTACAGCCAATGGTGAGTTTCAGTTTGAACACAACAGTTGTTACGATCTGCGGAACCACGCCCATAGCGTCACAATGAAATCATTCAAGTCTTGCTTGCGCACAAACTTCTTTGCCGTCGAATTTTCTCAGTTGTGGAACAGACTTCCAGCTAAGTTGAAGGCCTCCAAATCAACCTCTGAATTTGGTCGGTTGCTGGCTAACTTCTTATCATCTGATGAGTTTTTCGGCTTATCGAATACACCAACAGTCTGCTTCACGACACTTCGTGTACTCCACCTCCTTAATGTGTAATGAGACAGCCACCACACCTATACTGACCTTTCATACTAAACGTTGAGGAGACTTCCATAAGTTATCACAAACTAACGGCACATTCCGCCGCATCCAACACAGTAATCAAAAACAGAAATTCCACGCTACACGACAGCAGGAAATTTATATTTTTAAGTACTCCAAAGAAAAAGCGCATACAATGAACACCATAGCAAGGAAAGTTAAGTAGGCCGAAATATGAACATAGAAAACACTCTTCTTGTTGGAATTCTTGCTTTCACTGCCTGCTGCTTTGTCTGTCCTTTTCTCGTTGTAGAAAAGCAATTCAGTTCTAAACGTTGGCTTGGTTGCCATCGAGAATTAGTTAACTAAGGAACAGACCATGGCTGAAACTACCCCTCACGGAGGATAGCCAGCTTTATCACGTTCAGAATACCTAACTACAAGAAGCAGAAATAAAAATGTTCACTAGACTACAACTTCATAGGATTTACTCATTATAAAGGTGACCAGCGAAGTCCAGCACTCACCAACCGCAAGGCTGTCACGACCCGTGAAAACGAAGGACAGGATGTCCTGGAAGCCCATTTGGCGCATTCAAACAAGTCTCTTGCCTCTGGATGCTGGGGTTAGAAAACTGAAGACATTTGGCTTTTAGTCATAATATTCATCAAGATTATGAATCTTTGTTGTAGAATGGTATTGACATGCATGAATTATACAGTCCTGGAATCATCAATGAAGTGCAATGTGCAAACATTTCGGGCATACATTCCTTCATAAACTTTTCACCACTATCTCAAGCAAAAAGTACAAACTGTTACAGTGGAAGTATTAGCTTCAAGATTTATTTTTCTGCAGGTAATATCTGTAATGTCTAGATACAAACCTGGTTGTTGTTAATGCAAAGACAATACTTCCACTAGTCCAACTTGTAAATTTTCTGCATACTTATTCTGCTGGGATGTTCCATTATATGAGCATGCAGCACTTATATCTTCTAGTGACAGCGGGTGGGGATTGAGATTACCTTCCATGAAGATGCACGTAATTTATATATAAACTTATTTACACCTGCAAAAATGGTGTTTGCCTGTATATTCAGGAATAATTATTGTTATAAATGAAACCCACCGCTGGCTTTAAAAGTGAACCGGTGTAACACATTCAGGAAGAGAGTCAGGCTAACTTTGAGCAGTCTCATCCAAAGTGGTTCTAGATTTAGGGTCCTGCACCTGGAATTGTAGTCCTGCTGGCGATCACATCACAGTAATCTGGCCTTAAATTACCTTCGGACACCCTCTGTGTTTGGCTTGTCTTTAATGCGGATACCACTCAATATAAATAGACAGCATCCTAACATTGGACGTATGCAAGTTCTACGGAGGATTAACTTGACTTCTTCGGGACGAAAGTCACAGACTATGCAATTATGCACACCTGCGAGGTAAGAGGACTTTGGGTCTAGGCGCAACCCTTCTCTCAGTGTTCGTAAACGGCCCGAAGTCCCCGTCTGCGTTGTCTTGACGAATCTTAAGCTACTGGGGGAAATGTGCAAGGGGAGATCGAAACGTGAAACTGGCAAAAGATCCAGCTGGCATAGCCCATGTCCGGCCTGTATCCGATAATGCATATTTCTATTGGCCTGAAACGAGGAAAATACGATGTTAGTGTAGGATTAAGATAAAGCCGCCAGAAGGGCACAAGTTTGAGGTGGTAAACACAAGATTACACTAATGGACGTCGAAGCGCTTTTTTGCATACATTTTCACAGTCTTTTTAATTTTTTGGAATACTTTTAAAACGTTTCTCGTAGCGCGAAGACCTGCCAGCATACACTTGTTCGAGTCTAAAATTCTCAGACGACTAAATGATGGATTCTGTTAAACATCTGAGCAGGTAAACGCGTTAACCAGCGCACGTCACCACTACCGGCGATTTCTTTACCGACGAAGTCACCGTTTTTTGAACTTAAGGGTCCTCTTTTGTTTTCGTTGGCAGTGGTCGTGCTGATGGTGCTTGTGTAGGCAGGGGGCGGGTTGGATCGTCATTAATATAAGCTGCCATCAGTCGGTCGACACTTATAATGTCTTGCCGTCCTAATCTGTCATTGGCGAGAAAATTCCCCTTACTGCTGACAGCATTGAAAGGCCCATCATATGGTGGTCGTAAGTGTTTTCATACAGCATCAACACGCCTAAAGGCTCATGTACAGCCTTGATGTCTTCCATCCAACTGTATTCGTCTACAGTGGATTTGTGTGGATGGGAGCATCAGACGACGCGTGTGAGGCTTAAAAGTTTGTGCATAACCATGGGTACCGGTAGGAGTTAGGTCACTAGGATCTCATGCAGCCGGTTCGCCGAGCAACCGTGGGTTGTTTCTGTAGGCCAACTCATCAGGAGTACACCGTACATCCGCTTTAAGGGTTGAGCAAACAATGAGAAGAACAAGTGGCAGAGATTCAGCCCGTCATACATTGTCGACTACTTTTAGTGCAGCCTTAAGGTGCTGACGGGTGTTATGCCTAGGTGAGAATGCGTTTGAATCCCAGCAGGTTTATCAGTTTCCGGAACGCTGCCCCAATGGCCATGCTTTGAAGCATCAACGGCGATGCTTAGAGGAAGGTGCACATCCTGGTGAACCAACATAGTGGCACCCACTAATGCTTTTCCGATCTTAAGAAATACTCCTAGTGCTTGGGGAGCCATGCTGAGAGTTTTACATTTACCTTTCAACAGGTTGGTTAGTACACTTAAAACGTGTGTACACAGGGGAACAAAGTGGTTATGACAGCTCGCCATCCCAGGGGATGGATACAGTGCTTTAAACGACGTTGGTACCTTAAGGTCTTGACTCGTCGGTGACTCTCCGGGTGGTGGGCGAATCTCAAACCCACCGATTACATGACCAAGAAAGGCCAGTGTGCGGACACCAGGCTGGGGCTTGGCCAGATTGACAGTGCACGCTTGGCTAACATTGAAAAATTGTTGCGGGCGAATGCGATGACTGTCCTTGTCTGCACTAGAGAAAAGTTTACCACCAAGGTAGGCATAAGCAAAATGTAAACCACGTAAGACTTCGTGGCTGGGGCGCTGGAGGGTCTGTGTAGCATTTGCGGCCCAAAAGGTAGGCGGAGAAACCCACGAGGAATGAATAGTGTAACGGTTGCCACCCTCGATATGTCTTCCGCATGTACGGGTATTTGATGAAAAGGGCGCGTCAGGTCAAGCTTGTTCAAGACAGCGGCGCCCTTCAGAATAGCAGGAAATTCATGCCTGTGAGGCACTGGGTAACGATCTGAAAGTTTTTTAGCGTTGAGCCGTCCACGGTCACCACAAGGCCACTAGTACATGCCATTTTTTTCGAAACCACATGCAAAGGCGATCATGGGCTGTTGGGAGTGCACTAAAAACTCTTAAGCCACCTTCAATGAGCTACTTTCACAGGAGGGACGATTTCACAACAGCTGGTGAAATCAGTCACCAATCCAGTGTTCCGAACATACCTAACCTCGTCATACAATAAAGGCCACCGAGAGTGAATCTGACTAAAGTGATATGTCGACGAGATAACTCTAGGATTCAGTCCAACTTATCTCTAAATGCACGTCATCTATGGAACGTAATGACACGAGACATGACCACTATCCACTCGGTAGGATATTTTTTAAAGGGCAGCCGAACAAATATATTAAGGGGTATGGCTTCGCAACAACATTCTGAATGCACAGAGGACCACCCTCATGTTCTTCCTACCCACCTAACCTACTCTAACCATTCTCACTTTTTACCGGCTTCCCACTTCTTTTTGTCGATCCACTCTACCTATATTCAGATGCCAACGGAAACAGCAGTCAAAAGAAGACCTATAATCTTATCCTTAACTCCTTAGCTTCTCTAAGTATCCGGCCAACAAACAGCGTGTCTGAAACTAATAGCAAGTAATAAGCCTGCCCGGGTTTGAAGCTGGTAAGTCTGGAAGAGTTCATCGCCCGCAGAACAAGATGAGACGGCATGAAAACTGCCAGTTTTATCCAATCATGCAGTTGGTGTTGTTGACAGCATACCAGATATCAGTCGTGCTCATAGCTATCTGAAGTTTACGGATATTGTGCCAAGACAGACCATAATTTTGGTGCGGACGAATAGGCTTTGTCCTCTATAAACAAGAAAAAAACTCAGCCAATGATAAAAAAAGAACGAAGAGAACAGATAATTCAATAGATGCAGGTCATTTTTACCAATGAACACTTTGTTCAGTCCATTTGTAAGATTGTTATTGTACTCGACGCCCCGCTAAGCTTAAAAGGAGTCGGTTTGCGGTCTTTGAGTGAATTTAAAGGCCATCCTAAAACTTCCAGAATGACCTATTAGGCTTCTGTATTTTGAGAAAAGTTATCTTTCTGGTTAGAATTTCAAAACCTGATTACTTGTCTCAGCTGTTGCCAGGGTAGTCTTTAAAGTAGCCCACGGTTTATTTTTCAAACTTCATAAATTTGTTAAATTCATTATAACAATTCTTTCAGATATATACGGCATACCTAAAATAGGAATTTTTCAGTCCTACGAATTTTCATCATGCTGCACGGTTTCTAGAGGGGCACCAGCTTGTGACGCTGGAATGAAACGTACAAAGTTTCGTGTAAGATATCAGACTGGCTTAGAGAATTGCTGAAGTCTTTTAAAACTCCCGAAGGTCTTTAAAGAAAAACCGCTTTGCTTTAAGTGTGCGTGGGGTTTTGTTTCTAAGGAATCAGTCCGAAGTTACTGAGGTACATTTAAGTAAGTTTTAATATAATGCCAGAGCCTTTAGAAAATCAGAACAGGATTTTTCTGAACTTTTCGTCATGTATGCCATGGATTCCGCAGCAGAATATTCGGATTTTTATGAAACATCGAAATACATGCTACCAAATAGTACATATGGCAATTTCTGTATTTACGCCATCAATCTGAACAAAAAATTAACTAGCCAATGGCATAAACGCAGAAATTGCTACATGTACTATTTAATATAGTGTGTTTTGATATGTACTAAAGTGTGAATATTTTCCTGAGGAATCTGTGGCATACACAGCGAAGCGTTCAGTATAATCCTGTTTTGATTTTCTAAACACGCTAGGGTTAAATTAAAACCTACTAATATAATAATGAAACCTGACTAACCACTCAATTTCTTTTAAAAAAATTGTAAAAATTATGGCTTTAATGTGTATTACCGAGGTATGCCCAAAGTTTTTGCTGTCAAAAGTATTTTTCGATGCTACAAACATAGTACTTGACAAACGGATGATTAACTATTCTTAAATGAAAAGGTGTCAATCTTTGTGAAGTAGTCACAAATTAAATAGCGGACAACGGCAGCTGTCACTCACATCAGTGCTTCTTCTGCAATGCAGCTAAAATTGGACCCTTTATGAATGTTATTTTTATCCATGTCTCCATTTTACGGCATTTTGAAATGATGTTTTAAAGACAGAACTTAAACTGCTTTTTTCATTAAAGGGTTATTTTCAATTTTTTTAGAGATTGGGATGGAGGAACAGGATTCATAATATTATCATTTCGAGACTCATTTCGCTGAACTTTTAATTTTTACGCAGATCTATCAGCTGGAGATACTGAAGATATGTACATCTTTGGAAATATTTTGAGATTCATAAAGCAATAAGGAAGGCAGGCATCGCGGAAAACGCAGTTCTGATAACTTAATGCAACTGGGTCCTTGAACGTCGGAAGAATGAATACATCTATATAATGGATGATATAATTTTATTTGAGCAACACCCCTCAGCCCAGTCTAAAGCTACAATGGTTATTCACACATACGATAATTTAAAACCAGGGAGTCAGTAACATCAAGTTGTACTCAAAAATCACTTTAAATTAACATAGCAAAGGGATAGAGAGCATAGGAAAGGAACAACTAACACTGGTCAGAAGTCTGCCTAACATGCAAAGAAATGACATGTATAAAACTGACATCGGTTGATTCAGTTTAAATCGTTAGGTGACTTAAATACGGGATTATGTAATTAAACGGAAATAAGACCAAACTAAAATCAACATGGAAGTGAGAAATTGACCACAAAGTCTCTGTGTGTGCAGAGGTTCAGTTGAAAGCAATGTATAGCATCTTCTCTAACGAGACATAGTAATGCAGGTATTTTCCACACGTTTGTTACTTTAAAAAAACTAGGAGCAGTAACTTGTTGTTTTATGTCTATGAAGTGTCTGGCGATTGCAATGGTTAAGAGTTTCAAGCAAAAATTCCACCGATTATGTTAAGCAAGGTAAATGAATGCCTCCCTTTCAGTCCTTTTAATGTACTTGCTGACGAAACTGCATATCAATTCATAAAAGGAGTTAAAGGTGACATGAGCAGAATGCTTATTCAGTCTGAACTAGTTCAGTGAGTATATGGTATTGTATAATGATACAATTTTAATGCAGCAAAGCTTCCATTTTGATGAATATTCTCTTTAGCATTGCGATTCCGACTGCAATGCAAAAAATGCTGAAGGAACAACAAGTTCATTAGGTGTTTTGGTCTGTGTATGGTTTTGTCGAATAGTTTTATAAGATAAAAAAATGATATGCAGAAAAATACCATTGAAACTGTTCACTATAGAGGGAAACATTCAGGACTTGCATAATCTTTACTACCTGTTTACTGCAATTAAGAAACAAATCCACAACGTGTAAATAATTAATTTTTATTTAGATTTTCATCAACAAAATCAAATTTCTTGATAAAGAATTTGAAATTAACGAGTTTAATGGTTTCTGGGTTTGTGATGTTTTATGCTTTCTGTATAGGTGTCTCAACCATAATTTCCTATTCATTATATGAAGTCCTGTCATCTAAATAGATACTGACTGGCGGTTTCACCAAAGAGGGATGATGATAAAGGACTGCGTATAAGGAGATTTGATTTGAAATATAGTTCTTCGGTAAAAACTGATAAAGTGTAATACTGAAGATATCGGTACTTTTACCGCCTGGATCTGTTCATTTATATATTTAAGCAAGTAGGTTGCAATTTCAAGGCCTGTGATGACCGGATCCTCAATATATTTAAAACAAACAATTATCCTTATCCATTTAATGAAATATACCAAGTTAGAACTAATAGTAACAGATGTATTTCAACCCCCCGAGAAAGAGATGTTATAGAAGGTCCCAAATTGGTGGATAGTTACTATGTAGAAAATTATTGTTACCATTCTACTATCCTGTTCAACAGTTCGTTGTGAATTTCTTCCCGCTTCAAATCCATTTTGACTTCAGAATTAAATTGAATGTCGGGAATTTTCATCAATAAATGTGATTTCAAGATAATTCACCCTAACAGCCTATAGTACGTCTACGGATTAAAAAACACGTGTGGATTGACCACAATAAACATATAATCAGCAGTTGGTCATTTATCAAACTTGGTCTAAGATTAAATTTTTATATTTTGTGGAACTAAATAGCAACAACTTGTCCTAAAGTATCTTAGTCACATACAGTAACGCATTCTGGACTATTAAGTAATGTAACAGTAGTAACACTTCCAGTAAGTGGCAGTGCATATTACTGAAGAAATAAGTATTGATAGTAAACTATGAACAAATATATCCATCGACAGGTGAATAAATATCAGGTATGGATATTTAAATTATAGTAAAATTGACATGACTTCCAATTTTTGGCTTTACACATAACTTTTAGTAAATTTTTATTTAGAAATAGTATTCATCATGGACTGGCGTCAAATGGGAAACCATTGGAAACCTGGGAGCACTGGACACCTGTTTCGTCCTAGTATGGGACTCCTTAACAGTTTGCACCCACGACCCGGCTAGGGATCGAATTCAGGACCTCCAGGTTTCACAGTGAACGCCTTAGCTATTCAGCCATTGGGTCAGTTTACAGTGGTTCACAATTTCCAACTTCTCTCAATTCACGATGATATAGCGTGACTATCACCCAAAGTCTTCAGTTAGCATCCACTTCACTTCCAACTGGTTGACCCCACTGGTCAAGGCTTCTCATTAGAGCTTCCTGATATCCATCTGGAAGCAAGTCAATAATAAGCACTAAACAGTAATGTATTTTGAGATGAATGGGGATTTTTTTTAAATTTAGAAGTAGTATTCATCATGGACTGATGTCAGTTGGGAAAGCATTGGAAATCTGGGAGCACTGGACAGCTGTTTCGTTCTAGTATGGAACTCCTGAGCTGTAGGCACCCTTTGACCCCGGCTAGGGAATTCTGTTGTGAATTGACAGAAGTTAGGAATTGTGAACTACTGGAAACCGGCCCGGTGGCTGAAAGGTTAATGCGTTCGCCGTGAAACCTGAAGGTTCTGAGCTCGATCCGTAGCCGGGTCGTGGGTGCGTACTGCCGAGGAGTTCCATACTAGTTGGACGAAACAGCTGTCCAATTCTTCCGGATTTTCAGTGGTTCCCCAAATGACGTCAGTCCATGATGAATACTACTTCTAAATTAAAAAAATCCCCATTCATCTCAAAATTCACTTTATATTTGTTAAAAGCAATCTAAACGAGAAATAATCTTTCCGACAAATTCTTATCAAATTCTAGATTTATGAAATAGAATTGTATAAGGTAAAACGAATTAAGTCTGAGGTGAATACAATTTCAAAAAGAAATATGAGCCAGTGATTGTAAACAAAAGGCGTTACAAAATCCTACGTATCACTCACCAACGCCAACTTAACATAGCTCACCCTTAAAGAGTAAAACTAATCTAACCTAGGCTTTGGACTCAGAGGAAACATGTTCTAGCGTTAATCCTCGCCTGCGTTTTACTTCTGTTTATCTTAACTGTTGTCTTTTCTCTTATCGTCATCTTCATCTGTCTATATGTCACCCTAATGTTGACAAAGTTAGAAGAAAAATCAATTTCTATACAGCCTCTAAGTCGAATTTTATTATGAAAATGTATTTGCCTCAAACCTGGCTTGTTTTATACTGTACTCTTCCACTATATAAGTCTAGAACCTAATTAGAATTTATTGAAAAGAGTATTCCTTATCTGGGAAAATATGAACCATTGGGTGTCTACTTAGTGGCTCAATGGTAACGTGCTTATCGCAGTGTTTTAATCCCCTGGTGAGATTATAGCTGAACACTACTGAGAACCACCATGCTAGGAGGAAACAGTTATCCAACGCTCCCAGTTCCCTATTGGTTCTACAACTGATATCAGTCTGTGGCGAATACCAACTTGTAATCGATCAATTATTCTTTATAGACCTCTTACTTGAACTATGTTATTATCTTTGAACAAATGAAAACGGTGGAAACATTTTCAGTCAAACGAAAATTTTGATTGGCACTGTGAAAACATTTTTTAACACTAGACGACAATACCATTTTTCTGTAAGAATAGCTTGATTTGAGTTTATTTGTGAGGTGTTTCAACATCACTACCGCGTCCTAGAAGTGTTACTTTGCTTTTGTTTCGGCTTCAGTAAGTGATATTTATTAGATTTTCTGTATACAACTGGACAATAAACTTTCTTTACATATCAGATGTTTCCTTTACGGTAAGAATTTACAATCAGGTGGCTAAAAATTCCAACAGTTTGATCCTGTTTACCTAAGGAAGACTAATATCCATACTGAATGTCAGTTATTTGCTGTAATCTTAACAAGTTGGCCAGGTCCACTTGGGAGATTTGAAAAAAGTTTAGTTGCCTTAGTTACTCATTTGTTTTATTTTTGTTTCTTTTAGAAGAGTTTGGATATTTCTTCGTATAATGATTACAAGCTTAGATGATAAAGAGGAAGAAGAAGTCACCATCCATACTGCTGTAAAGCGAGGTGATTTAATTTTGCTTAAAGAGATGATTTCAAATGGGGCAAGTGTCAATGAAGTGGATAAACAGTCATTTACACCACTACATTGGGCGGCTAACGTAGGTGCTATTGAGGTAAAATACAAATTTACTTCCCGATTAAAGTTTACTTAACAATCAAGATTCTGCAATATTTATTATGGAAAAATGCTGACCCATTATTTGTTACTAAGAATGGATGGACTGCTGTTCATATTGCTGCTATTCGAGGCTATGAGAACTGTATTCAATCACTGGCTGACAGAGGTGTAAGTCTTTCTGCTAAGGACAAGTATGGTCAAACTCCTGGTCATATGGCTTCAATTCATGGAAATTCTGGAAGTCTTTTAACTCTATTACGTGCTGGTGCTGTAAGTTTCATTGTCCCTACTTAGGAAAGATATGGATATGGATAATCTTTATAATAATAATTCGGTTTGAATTCTATGCTTACCCAATAGACTACTGGTTCTAGCCTAGTTGGTGGCTGGCAGAGGAATTCAGAATCCAGGGTATGTCTGCACTCCAGTGAGGGATGTTATTCCCACCGACACTCGAATCCAGTACCCATAGCTTCAAACACTAAGGGGTTATTGACCAGACCACTGGAACACAAAAGACATCTTATAATTCACTATAATATTCATAATGAATATTTAAGTGGTATCCAGGAGCGCATCTGCTAACATAGCAGCAGGAAATTTGATCGTCGTTTGAAGTTCAGCTTATAGGATTAATTTTGTCATAACAATATAAATTAATATCCTGTATTGATATTTACGCAGGATGTAGAAACAGTGGATTCAAATGGATGGACAATGTTACACGCAGCATCATTCCATGGACGACTTGGATGTGTACAAGTACTACTTAGATGGGGTTTACGAATAGAGGATTCTGATAAGGCTGGAAATAATGCTGGTAATTATAAGTTATATAAGAATAAATTTCAGTTTTTTATTTTCATATATTGTAGTTTTCTATACTGTATGATAATTGTAAGGGAAATGAAAATCCAGGCCAAGAATAGGATTGACATCAGTGACCACTAGGTCACCAATACCAATACTCAGTTATCTCAGATAATCAAACTGAAAACTATTTTTTAAAGTAGGTACAAAACTTAAGAATTGTGGTCGATTTTAACTACATTTTAGTTCATTTATTAGATGAATCACAGAGTAAAACCACTACTGCAGAAGGTCTGGAAGGAAGGGAAGGTACCTGCCCATTGATTGGAAGAAGGGCTATCTTGTCAAACTCCCAAAGAAGGGTGAGCAAAGTCTTTACAAGAACTGGCATGGAATCACGCTCCTGTCCACCCCAAGCAAAATATTATGCCGCATCATCTTGGAGAGACTAAAGGATGCACTGGATTCAAAACTACGACTGGAATGGGCTGGCTGGATTCAGGAAGTACAAATCATGTGCGAATCAAATTGCAACGTTTCGCATCATCATAGAACAGAGTATAGAATGGCAGTCAACTCTCTACCCCAACTTCATCGACTTTGAAAAGGCCTTCGACAGTGTCGATCGAGAAGTGATTTGGCAGTTGCTTCAACACTACCGAATACCGCAAACCTTTATCACTCTCATTAAACAACTTTATGAAAACGCCACATGCCAAGTAATTCACAATGGGAAGCTGAGCTCAATGATGCCTTTGAAGTGAAGACAGGTGTAAGATAAGGCTGTCCGCTATCAACCATGATCTTCCTGATTGTGGTCGACTGGATCATGCAACAAACAGTGAGGAGCGAGAAGGGGGGGATACGCTGGACTGCGGAAAGGAACCTAGAAGATTTGGATTTCACCGATGACTTATGTTTAATGTCACACAAAATTGAAGATCTACAGGCGAAAACTAACAAGTTGACAGAAGAGGCAGGGCAGCCAAGGAAGACGGGACTGCAAGTGAATGTAGAGAAGACAGAGGTGATGAAGATACCCAACCAACAACAAGCTCCGATAATCATCAACGGGCGAAACTTAAAGGAAGTAGTCTCTTTCGCCTATCTAGGCAGCACTGTCTCAACTGCAGGTGGCATAGGCACAGACGAGGACGTCAAAGCAACCAGGATCGGGAGGACAGCAAGACAGGAGTTCATTAGCCTGAAACCAGTGTGGAGATCTTCTGAACTAAGCATGTGGCACAAGATCTGGATTTTCAACACCAACGTCAAGTCAGTGCTTTTATATGACTCAGAGACTTGGCTCATTACGAAAGGGATTTCCAACAAATTACAGACATTCATCAACAACTCCCTACACTCACTTTTTACTGAAGATCAGATGGCCAGAAAGAATCAGCAACAACGAACTCTGGCTGGCTAGCAATGAACCAACCAAGAACCTATCACCCAACAAATATTCAGAAGGAAGTGGAGATGGATTGGGAATACACTGAGAAGGCCGACTGGGGACATCATGCACCAGGCCAGATGAGAAGCGACGAGTTTGGCGTCCCAGCTGAGGGTGACATGGAGGAGATCGTGTTAGAAAGAAATGAGAGCTTGTGGGCAGTCGTGGTGACAGGTTGAAAAGACTGCAGAGAAGAGAGTGCACTGGAGACGTGGTACTGAAGGTGTATGTTCCATTGGGAACCCAAGAGATAAATAATAATAGTCATAGAATAAAACAGTTTTATTTACTGGATAAAGTCTTGAGACACAATTTACAATCCATAATTAAGGATACTTTATGTCTCAATCACTAACCACCTACATTTATCAATGAACGTACAAGAAAGTACAAAAAATGTAGGCTGTAGTGGCAACACAGGTATTAATAATAATAATAATTATTATTATAATAGTTGTAATGATAATAATAATAACCACTGTATTGATAGTAGTAGGAGTATTATTTTCTGTAATTATTTTGACACTGTAGGGACAGAATTTAAAACCTCTACTGGATCACCAATATAAGGAAGGCACCTTCAGGGCGTCATGAAAAATCATCAACAAGGCTTGGATTAGATTGGTATTTAAGCCTAAAATCTCATTTGCAAATTATATTTGTAATTTATAAGATCGTGTTAATCTTAGTTGGCCAAATAATTCAGTTTAACAAATCACTTCCAGTGCCTGTAGGGTCACATACTTAAGTCAAAGTAGTCGACCATGATCATTCTATCTATCGAGGCACATAATGTTAGCTAAGTTAAGATTGTTAGATCGTTAAGTTGAAAAGGATCTAAAGGGTAGCTAGGTTGGAGCTATGCACTCCATTTCCCATAATCACACAATATCATTGTATAGATTAACAGTCCATAAGAGAGAGATATGTAGGTAAAAAGGCAGAAATCCAAATCCTTATTCATCAAGTCAAAACCGAATACATGCAATAGGAATGATTCATCATCTATCTCGGATATATGGAAAACTCTACTACCCTTGGCACAAAGAAAGAGAGAGAATTTGAATGCATAAACTAAGTATCAAAGCTTTTGGGTTACGTGATGTGAATATGGACAGTCGCTTGTGTCTTAAAGGTTATCCACCATATAATAATACTGTTTCATTTTGCTGCTATCTAACAAACAAACTGAAATAGAATTATCCGCCATGGTTTGGCGGACTGGTGTTATTGGTAGCCAATATGACACTTACCTTGTCAACTTCATCCTGGCTAAGCAGCGACTACAACTAACAGATAGTTACTTCCCGCAGATTTAAATGACAGTCTGGCAAAACCTTCAGTGATTAAAGTAAAAGTAAGATCTAGTCATCAGTTGTATCTCATAGCTTGTTTGATATGACATCAATCCAGCAACTCGGAGGCTACTGGTTCGAATCCTGTCACAACCTAAGTTTCGATTTCATCTTCACAGACAATATATCAGATGCCTCTTTATCTCAACAGGTCAACAGGTGTCAAAAAGATTGCGAAATGATAACTTAGGCATCTACTAGGATTCCGAACTAGATAGGTCAAATAGATTTCTACTTATTCATTTACTCCTAGTTAACATTAGTTACAAAGATATCATGCTTAAAAATCATAAGAGAATCCCTTAAATAGGATGATCAATTGACAGATGACTGACAAATTGCACTATCCACGCTGATATTTTTCACAGCTATGTAATTTTTCAAGCTATTCTCCTGTGATATTAACAAGGTTTCCCTTGGAAACCACAAGTATTGTTATCTAAAGAAACATATGAGTAGTTGAAAGTCACGTTGTCTGATCTATAGGTTTCAGTAACTAAAGCTGAATTTGTTTGGATACATCACTGATGAGTTTAACTCCAAAATGACAGAAACGGTTATTGTCCTTATCTGAATCACTTTGATCTGGCTACCAAAATTTATCGATAAACAGGTGTGATTTATACGTTTTCTGGTTGTTCAGTGGTATACTTCCGTATCATAAAACTTTATGAACATTTAATATGTTTCAATGATTGAAAAAGATGTCTAAATAGTATTGGTTAGTTGTATAATTCAGTTTAGTCTTTGAATTCCCACCTGTTTGTTTAAACTTGTGAATTTCAAATCTCTTTTAGCGGTGAATTTCAAATCAGTAGACATATGAAGAAGTATCCATTTATGACTCAAAAAGTATAGTTGATATCTAACTAAGTTATGCAACAGCTTCTAATATTTCATCGGTTTTACGATCCTACTAATAGCAGATGAAATTTATACTTCATATGAAGTTATTTGAGAAGAAATAAACATTGGATAACCGTCAATTGAAAGAATAGTCATACAAACAATATACCGCGTCTAGTACTGTTTCCTTCTTCCTAAAGACTTCATCTGTAGTACTTTACAAGGGTTAATTCAGCTAAATCATCCTGACTATTCATAAATGAGACAGGTAGATGTCTAATTAACTTGAAACTTGAATGCGTACGTTTACTACTTAAAATTAGCAAGTAGTTTAAAAAGATACAGCAAAATGTTTAGTGGAAAGTATGTTAAATCTACCTACACTCAATTTTACCATTCAAATTTATCGGAATGAACAACTCATGAACAAATACTCTTTTTAATGACTTTTAGCCCATCTCGCAGCAATGGAAGGTCATCTACCAGTGTTACAGTGTTTAGTCAGTCAAATCAAAACACCTATAGACATGCTTGATACTCCTAATGATGATGGAGAAACTGCTGAAGTTTTAGCTAAACGATTTTTAAAACATGATGTTCAAACGTATATTAACAAACTTAGAACAGAACAAACATTTCACAGACTATCGGGAAATTATGAGCAGTTGGCGTTCCCAGCCCATTCAGCAGCTTATTCTGGTGATTTAGTTCAACTACGTGCATTGATAGAATCGGGAACGGTGAAAATTGATGAAAGAGACGAACAAGGTGCCACTCCATTACACAAAGGTAAAGAGAGTACTTTTGATCGATAAAATGTTTCAGCAAATAGTTATATGTGTATTAAGTGCAGTTCAGTGGTAATGTTGTCAACAACAACATAGGGTGAGATGGGTTCAAACATCATAGGGGACATCAGCTCCCTCGAGGTCACAGATACGCTGCGCTGACGAATACCAACAAGCCCGAGACCTGGGTACAGCGCGGGTCCTTTCCGATTGCCTTAGACGGTAACTATAACAAAAAGATAAAGTAATGTGTTCCGAATATCCTCAAACTTCAATCTTTACTTCAAAATGTAAATTTGTTTTAGTTAACTGGAATGTCATCATTCGAAAAGTTCAGTTTCCAAATCTTGTGAGATATACAATTATAGTACTATGGTGTTATTATGGAAACTGAACATTAAAAAGCTGATTGTTTTAATTAGAGTTTAAAAGTATTGGCGGGAAAATGAGTTGCAAGTGATTAACATAATCTTTTTTGAGGAGGAAAGGAAGAATGTTTCTCTCCATAAGGCAGTCAGATATGTTGACTTCAGGTTAATATTCACCAACGACTACCATCAATTAGAGAACCATTGGAAATCTGGAAGTACTGGACAACTGTTTACTCCTAGTATGGAACTCCTTAGCAGTGCGCATCTACGCCCCTATCATGAATTGAACCCAGGGCCTTCAGGTCCCACAGCCAGCACAGTGCTATTAAGCCGCTCGGTGGCAATCCAACGGGCCACATTTCCTACTTCTGTAAGTTTCGGATATAGCGTGATCCCCATTTAATGCCATAAATGAGTAAGTGTCATCGCATCCAACTTGGTTGGCATCACCGATCACTGCCAAAGTGTTATGGATAAATGCCATCAAAGTCGTAGTCTTTTACCTTTTTGCTGTCAGTATTCCCCCATAAATTTTCCTACCGGTTGTTATAACTATGCAGGAGTTCGATGACTTGACGTATATACATACCAATGAGAAGTGTCTCACCAAGTGGTGAATAAATCTTGGCCATGTAACAGTGTCTCATTGGTTATTTCTGCCCTATATGATAATTCTACTGGTTATCTTCCTAATTACTACTGAGTCTGTGCTTTTATTACAAAGTTACTGTAAATACAGATACTGGTTAGACGTAACTGTATAATTATGCCATCCTTGGGCGACCATAAGATGACCTAGAACGCGCCAATAGAGAGAAATTTGAGTCATTTTGGTTTTTAAAACGCAAATCAAATCAAATTAGAGTAGACGTAGTAATTTCACGATGTATACGAACTCATCTATGTTTTCAACTGCTTCTTATTGTTTAGAGTGAAGTTACTTACGATAAAGATACTCATCCATGTGATGACATGACATGGACGTAAGTAAGCCTTCAAACGATCGCCTGTTCGCTATAAATTATTTGTATAAACTTCCTTAGAAGGACTGAAGAATAAAATTGTCAGGATTGAAAATAGGCATCACGTTCATGAAGTTGGATATCAAACCTGTCTATTTCTAAGTATAAAATGTGGGGATCAAGTCGGATGTCAGCAAACCAACGGCTAATAGGATCTCTTCTGAACCCTGGTGCTGGGTTGTATGAATACCAAGACAGCTGAAATTGAAAGTAAGGAACTGTTTGCTTAATGATGTAAGTCCTCGATAAACATTGTCTTCATAGCAGCAAAGGTCAACAGCATTGTATGTGGTAAATTTGTTTTGTTTTTTTTTGAAACTTGATAGTCTCTCCAAAGATTTTCCTCAGATGATACTATAAAGTGGAAACCAATATTCTTATTTACATTCAGCTGCAGGTCAAGGACACATTAAAATAGTTCAATGGCTTAGAGAAAATGGTGCTGATCCAAGACTGAGAAATTCATTGGGTGAGTCACCTGCTGATGTAGCCAGAAGATATGGTCAACTGGGAACATTAAAACTGTTATTGCCTAAATCTTCTGGAGAAGATGAAAATAATGATATATCTGATATGGATTTGCCATCTGATATTCCATATGGTTATACTGAAGGGGAAAAAATGCCTCAACTTATAATGGATAAAAATGTTGCACTCGGTAATTTGTACTGTTATGATATATTAAAGTTTGGAATTGTTAATCATTTATTGAGTTTTTAGGTGGTTTTATCATGAACTTCTTTCACTAGAGGAATCATTGAAAGTCTGGGAGGATATGATGTCTGTTTCATTGAAGGTAAACACTAACCTTAATTCAGTCAAATTCCCATAAGCCTCTAAACATAAAAAAACTGTACGTGTTACACAAGAAGCGACTATCGTAACTCTGTGGTTTAGTAGCGAACTCTCTAGGGTTTGAACTTGTAGCTCCTAAGTTTGAGTCGTATTGGGAACAACATCACTTACTTGGGGGGGGGGGCGCAGATACATCCAGTTGACAGGTTCAGAGCAGGAGGAAACGCGCGTCCTGTATTCCACTGCTATCCACAATCCATCATTACTATAAAACTTAATGAGTTTATAGTTTCTTCAAAGGTAGCTAACTCACTGAGCAGATTTCTTTATAAATACCAACCACTGAGACTAGAAAGGCAATAACTAAATGTACCCGTTTGAAGAAACTATAAACTCATTAAGTTTTATAGTAATGATGGATTGTGGATAGCAGTGGAATACAGGACGCGCGTTTCCTCCTGCTCTGAACTTGTCAACTGGATGTATCTGCCCTCCCCCCCCCCAAGTAAGTGATGTTGTTCCCAATACGACTCAAACTTAGGAGCGACAAGTTCAAACCCTAGAGAGTTCGCTACTAAACCACAGAGTTACGATAGTCGCTTCTTGTGCTTCCAGCCGTCCAGCATAAGTGTCTTTTAGTCGTTCTCACTCATCAAACACGTTCTTGACTTTTGGGGTTACTATATTGGACAATGATATATACACTGTTCTTTGATATTGATAGTATTTTTAATAAATACTTCAAGTGGAGAGTTTAACTGAAAAGAATTTTGATTGTGTTGTATTCTCTGAGTTGAATGATTCAATCGTGAAGCGATCATCTTCATTCTAGACAATATCATCGGCACAAACTTCAAAAAAAGTGAGCTATAGGTATTTTTTCTATAATTGGCCTAACTCCTCCTAATGACCTTGTCTGTGATTGGTTATCTCTACTAAAACTTTGTTATTGCTTCCAAATATATTTTGATTGGTTGTCCTGCCAAAATGAACTTTGACCTTGTCTTTTTTGTGTTTCTCATTTGCTAGTTGATTGGGCCAGTGTTAATGTGTCTGTGGATCACTGACTGACCTGAATGCCAAGCTTCTAAGAATCTTTTGATACCCTCATTTATTTACCCAGATCCGCTGAAAATTTGCTGTTTGATGCCTCTTCAGTTGTCAATTTGATGTCGTCGAAAATGTTGGTTGTTTGTGATTGTTTTCTACATGTCAACCACAAGATTTTTGGCTTGATCAACGGTAATACAATGGTTTCCCATCTTTGCATCACTGCTTCTGCAATTAGTTCTCATGAAAGCAGTACGATTGGTGTTCATTTTGTCTGTTTGTAGAGTGTACTGTTGAATTGGAAGTATTTTGTAGGCCATAAATCAATTATTACTGTAGAACCTCATCATTTTAGTTGTGTATATTCCGAAGGGTATGTATCATTGGTGAGAAGATCATTTTATCCTTTCCCGAATTTTGTGTTGAATAGTTCATGGAATAGTCACATGATTTTATCGAATGTCACAGTTTCTTGAAGAGTTCTTTTGACAGATTACATGCTGAAGTCCTTGGAAGTGAAGTAATTTGTCGTAGAGGGATGTTTAGTATGTGTATTTTTAGTCTAACATCGAAATATAAAAGAACCGGTCCAGTGAATTTCATTCGGCATTGACACTAACCTTATCTGCTAAACAATAAGTAACACAGCAAACGACAAGAAGGTCAAACTTCATGTGGTTAGGACAACCAATCGAAAAACATATGGAGGCAATGATTAGACTTTCGTAGAAATACTTCCAAGGTCATCAGGATAAGTTAACAAGCCACTTGGAATGACATTACACTATGAAAATCATCCTTGAGAAGAATTTTCTCAAGTATCATACTTAAGTTTAAGAAATATATTGTACCTTTTTATTTGCTGACTTATAGGTCAGCTGATTACAGTTTAAACAGCAACTTTATCTGAAATTTTCAGTCTATATAAAGTCTTATATCCGTTAGTGGTGATGTATTCACTAGTTTCAATATAAATACGCTCATTATTCTTTGTTACAGACAATTTCCTTTATGTCAACCTTAATAGTTAGGGGTTATATATCAGTGCGATTACACTTCAAGTACTAATTGATACTGGATGATGATTGGACATTAGATAAAAATGTAGGCCGTGGCACGATTTAAACCAGTAGCCTCAGGTTTATCGACTTCGGATGGTACTATCTGAGTTAGGAGTTCAAACTGGTGACCTGGTTTTAACTTAACTTTAATCAATAAGCATCTTGCTGGGTTGATAAGTGAATTTGTGACCTGTAACCACTTATCCATCAAAATGATACTGGCCGCTTTGGTACATGTTCTTGTCTTAATGGGATTTGAGCTGAATTAAACACGCAAAATGTCTTATTGACTAGGATTATTATTACTAAGAGTATATAAGTTTGTGTATAAGTTTGTCAGGGCACGCCACTGATGAGCTCGACCACAAATGAGTGAAATAGCCGTCGGGTATTTACATCACCCTGCTCTGGCTCGTTTAATCTGCAGATCAATCTGAGTGTTTTCTAACTACTCAGCAATACTACTCAGTAGCATATTTCGTTAGTATCTGAGATGATTACGGTTTCAGATGGTAATTGAAGGTGAAAGGAAAAATAGATCACAGTAAGATTCAAACCAATGGCCTTCAGATAACCAGCCCCAGTGATTTACTAGCAGCCAGACAAAACTTTCGGTGACTCAACTGAAACTAAGACCTAGTCAACAGTTCAGTTGTTGAAGCAATATACCAGTAACCTGGAGCTCATCTATTCGAAGATCTCCATGACCCAAAATTTTCACTTTATCTTCTTCAACCACCATTTAACTATCAATAACAGCAGTCCATTAAATCACCACTATCTCAGATTATCTCATCATGAGAAGTATTAACTTTTGTGTCGTATGAAATCATTGGGGTGATTATTGAAAGTGGATTCATTCATAAATCTAGCTAGCACAATGTTTTTTATGTATTGTCTTCAGAAGAGAAAGAATGATAACTGAAACTGGAGGTGGTTAAGATACTGTCCGTAAGTGATTTATTGAATACAACTTTCGTATTTAGTCGCAGATTGCAAAAAATCTTCATTTGTTGTTGTTGCTAACAACCCTGAAGTGTAATAAGTATCTGAAGAATATCCCCTCATTTGAACAATTAATTTCGGTCAAATGACCATTGATTCAGAAACTTGGTATGTCACGAAAAGCATTTCCAACAAACTATAAATATTCATCAACAACTGCTACCTAAGCTCACTTGATACTGAAGATCAATGACTAGAAAGAATAAGCAACAAAGAAGTCACTCTGGGAACAAACCAACCAAGGAGCTATCACCCAACAAATATGTACTGGGAAGAAGTGGAGATGAATTGGGCATACACTCAGAAGGCTGACTAAAGTCATCACGCGCCAGGTCAGGCCAGGTCCTCAAGTGGAATCCAAAGGGGAAACGACGAGTTGGGCGTCGGAGGTGAGGGTGACATGGAGGAGATCATGTGAGGTAGAAGTGAAAGCTTGTGGACAGTCGTGCCATCAAGGGGATAATAACAATAATAATAGATGACTACTGAAACACAACTATTCGCACAAGCATAACTCTATCACCTCATACCATTATATTTGTTTTTGCTTATAACTACATACTGATTTCTCACGACGGCGGGATTAAGCGCTGGGTAAAGGGCAAATATGGCAGTAATTTGTTGAAGTTACAGTAATTGTTTGACCATTTATGCTGTCAACTTAATCAATCATTCATTCATTCGCTCTCAGATATGACTACGCCTTCAATCCATCTGGGTGAAAGTAGGCGCTTTTTCTGTTGTAGCAGCGTTACTTATATTCATATATCGTCTTCCATATTCACAGACTAACTTGTTCGGATACTCAATTTTAGCACATTATGCCTAAATGTTAGAAAAAAAAAGCTTTGATACAGCATGCTGTAGTATTTCACCGGCCAGATCAAAGTAATGCAAACACTGGATGGCCGTTTTGCTCATTTAAGACCAAGCTCATCAGCAGTGTACCAGGACAAATTGAATTCATACAGCCAACTAAATAGATTTTATTATTATTAGTCCCTTGGGTTCCTAGTGGAACATACGGCTTCAGTAGCACGTCTCCAGTGAACTCTGTTCTCTGAGATCTTTTCAACCTGGTTCCACGACAGCCCACAAGCTCTCATTTCTTCCTCGCACGACCTCCTCCATATCACCCTCACCTTGGACCCCCAACTCGTCGCTTCCTATGCGGATTCCACTCGAGTACCTGGCCTGACGCGTGATGTCCCCAGTCGGCCCTCTCAGTGTATGCCCAATCCATCTCCACTTCCTCCTGCATATTTGTTGAGCGATAGGTTCTCCATTGGTTCGTTCCCAGAGCACCTTGTTGCTTATTCTTTCTGGCAATCCATCTGATCTTCAGTAGCGAGCCAGCGTAGGTGGCAGTTGTTGATGAATGTCTGTAGTTTATTGGAAATCACTTTCGTGACGCGCCAAGTCTCTGAACCATACAGAAGCACTGACTTGACGTTGGTGTTGAAAATCCGGATCTTGTTCCACATGCTGAGTGCAGATCTCCACACTGGTTTCAGGCTAATTAACACCTGTCTTGCTTTTCCGATTCTGACTTTGACATCCTCGTCAGTGCTGTCTGTAGTTGAAACAGTGCTTCCTAGATAGGTGAAGGAGGTCACTTCCTTTAGGTTTCTCCCGTTGATGGTGACTGGAGTTTGTTGTTGTTGGTGGTGCGAACTAAATAGATTACGACACCTAAATTTAGTTGACTGACTTGTCCGAACCGGTATACCTTAAATAGAATGATTAGTTTGTCAATGATCTATAAATTGCATGATTCACGTTGACACTTCTCATAAGTGAGTAGTTTTTAAACTTCCCAATTGAGGTGTCAAGGTGGTTTTTGTTGGAAACCACCCAGTCAGTCAGTCAGCTATGATCAAATGGTGTGATCTCTAATATGAATTAGTCATGAACTAAAGAAATATACTACTATAAATCATTTGACAACTGTTCATCTTATAATGAACTTGAACAAAGTTAGTTAGTCAATAATTTAAAGACAGTATAGTGGAGCCATTATCGTGAAGTTTACAGTGACTGATATATGCTACCAATAATCCTTTAACTTATTCAGAATAAGTACAATGGGGACTAGAATAATTAGTAGTCATTTGAGAGGGTTAAATGTTTGTTAGGCCTACCGATATCATCTAGTTAACAAACGCTCTTTTCAATTGTTTACACCGTACACAAGTAAGTATTTGTCATATCTGTTTGCTATAAATAAGGTAATCAATTTATTGGAGTTATGGAACATTGGTTTATCTGGTTGTCTTTCAATGAGACGGTCATAAACATGAACTTCATTTCACCTAACAGTAATAAGTCAGTCAAGTAGTACCATCAGTACATAGAAAACCAATGGAATTCACTTAAAAATATGTATAGATTAAGCTGTTAAAAGTGTTCTTTGCTAACAACTTCTAAATATGTTATAATTCACGCCATACAAATCATTTTGTTTCTTTAAGGTCGAGCTAAAAAAAGGATTGAAAAAATTGAACGTATGTTAGATTTAGCAAAATCAGATTACAAACAATTGGGTGGTCCATTAGATGAAGAGGAAAAACAAAGAAATAAAATTCTTCAAGAAATTGATCGGTATGTGATTTCGGTACACGTATATCTTATACATAATTTGTAGCCTCAACTATTGATTAGTTGAGAGTACTGATTTCAACTTCAAGTTTAATAGTTGGATTTCTTTTACATCTCTGAGATAGAAGCGATAATATTTTAGTGGTATCATCACTATAAGGGAAACAAAACAGGCGAAGTGCCTAGAAACTATTTATTATATTATTATTATTATTATTATTTGTCTCTTGAGTTCCTAGTGGAACATACACCTTCAGTACCACGTCTCTATTTCACTCTGTTCTTTGTAGTCTTGCAAACCTGGCTCCACCACTGGCCACAAGCTTTCATTTCTTCCTCAGATTATCTCCTCCATGTCATCCTCATCTCGAACGCTAAACTAGCCTTTTCCCCTTTGGATTCCACTCAAGGGCCTGGCGCATGATGTCTCCAGTTGGTCTTCTCAGTGTATGCCTAATCCATCTCCACTTCCTTCTGAATATTTTTCGGATGATAGCCTCTTGGTTGGCTCGTTTTCAGTCAGCCAGCCAACCAGCCACAGTTCCTTGTTGCTTATTCTATCTAGCCACCTCATCTTCACTATCAAGTGAGCTTAGGTGGCAGTTGTTGATGAATATCTGTAGTTTGTTGGAAACGCTTTTTGTAGCTCTCCCTTGGTCTCTGAATCATATAGAAGCACTGAGTTGACTGAATTGGTGTTGAAAATCCGGATGTTGTTCGCGCTTTATGCTGAGTGCAGTGCAGAAGATCTCCACACTGGTTTCAGGTTAATGAACACCTGTCTTGCTGTCCTCTTGATCCCGGCTTTGGCATCCTCGTCTGTGTCTATGCCACCTGTAGTTGAAACGATGCTGACTGCCTAGGTAGGTGTAGGTGAAAGAGGCTACTTCCTTCAAGTTTCTCGCGTTGATAGTGATTGGAACTTCTTGTTGTTGTAGTTGGTGGTGGTGGTGCTGGTTGGGTATCATCACCACCTCTATCTTTTTACGTTCACTTGAAGTCCCGTCTTCCTTGGCTGCACTGCTTCTTCTGTCAACTTGTTGAATTTTGCTTGTAGATCTTCTAGTTTGTGTGATATTAGACGCAAGTGATCGGTGAAATCAAAATCTTCTGGAGCATTTAAACTATACTTTACGTTAACTAGACTAAGGCTTAAAAACGTAAAGTACCAGTTTTCACAATGATCAGCTATTAGACTACTTTGTCCTACTTCAGTATATTACAGCAAATAAGTTATAATGAAAGGGACAATAATATATAATCATTGTAATTTTCTTAGTAATCTTACATTACTGTCATATTGATCCTGACTACTTTCATTCCAAAGATTCCTAAAGATTTTGGCAAACACAGATTGACTCGCGGAGCATACCAATCATCATGGTTCGTTTTTCAGAAAAGAAAAATAATCTTAAGGACTGTTATGATACTTATAGTTTCTGGTTGCTATAATGGGTCGAATCGCTCGACAGCTTTCGCCAGATGGGCTCCTATATGGATGCCTAGATACTGTTAGATATTCATGAGGTTATATTGGTCTTGGTAACTAGCAGAAGAATCTGTGATGCACGTTTCTTCCTACTCGGGACTTGCCGTCATCTGGATGTATCTGCACTTCAATAAGTGTTGTTGTTCTCACTGAAACTCGAAATCGATCGTTTCAAATGCCGAGGCGTTGTCCATTGGGCCACTGGGACAAAAGAGCCACCTCTTGTTCAACAGTTGTTATGGTATTTGTTATTTCCCGTGGCCTAGTAACTAACGCCTTGGGGTTGGAAGCGATCGTGACTGTGTTCCAATCTCAGTGGGAACAATGTCCCCCCCCCTGAGGTGCAGCTACATCCAGATAAAGAGTCCTAAATAGGACGAAACGCGCATCCTGTATTCTTCTGCTAGTCACCAAGATCAATATAAGCGTAGGAATTTTCATGTCAATATTCTTCCTAATGAGTTTGAATGGAGGTGCTTACAACCTAAAAACTTTTAAACATCACATTACAAAAGAATTAGAAGATAAATTTTTGCAGTCAGATGAAGTTAGTTAACAGGGAACAACATGGTGTAATCAAGAATACGAACATTCAGGTAATGTTGACAAAACATGCTGAGCAATTTCAGTTATATACGTGGTTGAACAGACTGTTTGAAGAAACGACAGAAAGATTAAGTAAGGAGATGAACAAGTAGGCCAATTAACGATCAGTAAACAGCTAAATTATGTAATAACAAAGTGAGTTGAACTCCTTTGATAAAAAGACCATCACAATTATGTACAAACAGAGGGAAGGTTCAGTTAGAAGATGATATCATCAAACAAGAGGAGAAGTGAAATAATAGGTTACCAGGACAAAGAAAGACTTGACACTGCTTCTTTTTGGAAACACAATTCCGGTTTTAGTCATTTAATCGCTACAGCCTCGGCGAACTTCAGAACATTCAAATTACATTGTTTGTTGTCTACTACGAGTAATCCTAAGGTATCTACTTTGTGTCCTATGTCGATGAGATGTTGAATGACTGAACTAATGAAAGCATTTGTTCCCCTGAAATGCAGGTTTTTGGTTTATGCTCAAAGAATCTATAGTATGCATTTCTCTCTGTCCTCCTGATGTAACTGCTAGCATAGGTCAAAGCAAACTTGTTTACACAATTAGAGGTAACATGGTTAGGGAACCTGCTGACTTTCGATTGTATCAAGGAACACGTTGTTTTGCAAAAAGGGATCGATTTGGTTGCAGGAGACATCGTCACCCTTAAAGTTGAGTTCGTTGTAGACGATCTTGTTGCCCCCTGTAATCTACCTTAGTTTATTGTTTCCCGATCTATATTTATTGATAAACTCCTGCAGATAGCCGTTTCCTCACAAAATCTTTTCGATACTCATCAAAACTTCACCCATCTTATCACTTGAACATATTCTACGGGCTCTATAAGAGAGCGTTTTGATCAGTGCTTGTTTATAATTGATTGAGTAAACGTTAATAAAGATTAGGTATAATATATTCAACTCACTCTTTTGATGAGTACCACCATTTCTACTTTGCAAGATGATTTCTAAAAAGCTGAACTTTTAGTTGCTTTAATGTTCCATGGTGAATTTTGACATTTTCATGTACGTCGTTGAAGAGTCCTATTAAGTAGGGTGAATGAAGTAGCCTGTTGAACACGATAAACATACCATAGACATATCTGGATTAATACTTCGTTTCTTCAGATGCATACTTGAGTTTTGTCTTCTTAAAGTTAGCCATAAAGATATCTACCAAAACTGGGCCTACTGGATTTTCCATTGTTACTCTATCAATTTGGCGGTATATCAAGTTATCGAAGTGAAACTGAATGTCTTTGGTACACATTAACAGTAAGCGTCTGAATTCCAAAATCGACAGAGGAAGAAGTTCAAGTTACTGATATTCTCATAAATAGGAATCTTTGCCAACAAAGAAACTACATCAAATGATACCATGAAGTTATTAGAGGTGTTAAATTCATTTACTTCTTCAACGAGCTGGAATGAGTCCTGTAGAGTATGTGCAGCCAATCGTTGACATATAAGTGACGCTGTGAAAACGTGAGTTAATGATAGATGTAACGCCCTTCGTTTAATAGAGAATCCGAACATAGTCACTAAGCCTACTACCAATGTTGATACTTCATCAAAAGATTGAATACATAATTAGTTAGTCAATCTTAATTACCAGTAATGTTAATTTTTTCATTTAGCTGCTTATGGGTATACGTATTTGTTAGATGGCTCTCTTAACATAGCAAATAATGTCACGCTACGAATACTCCACATATATATGTCGTTCGGAGTAGGTATCCACCACAGATTTTTATAGTAAAATATGTAACTCAGTTAACTGAAACTAAGATCTTAGGCATAGATAGTGAGCACCTTCAAAAGTTGGGGGAGGGGAGGTCTTCTAGAACTGCAGAGATTACATATGTAAGTGGACTTTGATAACAGTTGTTAACCTATCAGGCGTTGGTTAATGGAATGATGTTTCGAATTGAGCGCTGGATCACATTTCAATAGCAGTAAATTTGTACAATATATCATTAGCTTACACCAAAAACTAATTCAAATTATCCTCACAATGTACAATAGGATGTTTAAGGCTTTCATATCCATTGAACTCTCTTCTCTGCAGTCCTTTGGAACTGGCACACCGACTACTCACAAGCTTTCATTTCTTCCTCACTTAATCTCCTCCATGTCACCCTCACCTTGAACGCCCAACTAGTCGTTCCCCCTTTGAATTCCGCTGCAGGACCCGGCGTGGCGCGTGATGTCTTTAGTTGGCCTTCTCAGTGTATGCCCAGTCCATCTTCCCTTTCTTCTGCATGTTTTTTAGGTGACAGCTTTTTAGTTGGTTCGTTGCCAGCCAGTCAGCCAGAGTTCATTTTACTCATTCTTTCTATTCTGGCCATCTGAGCTTTAGTAACGAGGCAACGAAGGCAGTTGTTGATGAATATTTGTAGTTTGTTGGAAACCCATTTCGTGACGCGCCAAGTTTCTGAACCATATAGAAGTACTGAGTTGACGTTGGTGTTAAAAACCCGGATCTTGTTCTTTGTGCTGAGTGCAGAAGACCTCCACACTGATTTCAGATTAAAGGAAGGCCTGTATTACTGTCTTTCCAATCTTGGCTTTGTTATCCTCATCTGTGCAGCCTGTAGTTGAAACGATGCTGCCTTGTCTAGGTAGGTGTAGGTGGAAGAGACTACTTCCTATACGTCTCTCCTCTTAATGGTAATTGGTGCTCGTTGTTGTTGTTGGTGTTGGTTGGGTATCATCATCACCTCTGTCTTCTCTACATTCATTTGAAGTCCCGTCTTCTCTGCTTCTTCTGTCAACTTGTTAGTTTCGGCCTGTAAATCTTCGAGTTTGTGCGGCATTAAACATAGATCATCATGAGCGAAATCCAAATCTTCTAGACTCTTCTCATCGGTCCGGCGTATGCTCATCTTCTCATAGCTCCTTACAGTTTCTTGCATAATCCAGTCGACTACAGTCAGGAAGATCATGGGTGATAGTAGACAGCCTTGTCTTACTCCTGTCTTCACTTCAAAGGCTTCGCTGAGCTTTCAATTGTGAATCACTTGGCATGTAGCGTCGTCTTAGAGATGTTGAATGAGGTTGACAAAGATTAGTGGCACTCCACACTATTGAGGCATCTGCTTGACAATTTACGTCAGCCTTTTAAAAGTCGATGAAGTTCGAGTGGAGAGTTGATTTCCATTCTATACTCTGTTTTGTTATGATGCGTAGCGTTGCAATTTGATTCGCACATGATTTGTTCTTCGTGAAGCCAGCCAGCCAGTTTCGATCGACATTTTGAATCCAGCGCATCCTTTAGTCTCTTCAGGATGATGTGGCTTAATATTTTGCTTGTTTTGGGTGGACAGGAGTGGAGCATGATTCCTCGCCAGTTCTTGCAAAGGCTTAGGTCTCGCATCTTTGGGAGACCGATGATAAGGTTGCTTTTCTTCTAATCAATATACAGGTACCCTTTTCTTTCTTCCTTCCAAACCTTCTGCAATAGTGGTGTGAGTATGTCCACTGTTGTCTGTGCATCTGTTTCCAGTTCTTCCGGCGGAATTCCATGTGGTCCTGCTACTTTCCCGGATTCCAGCAGTTTCATGGCATTCGATACTCCTGCTTTTGTCGGAGGGTCTGTCTTTACTGATAGTTCTACCGTCGATGGTATTATTTCCGGACGAGTTGCAGGTGGTGGTGGATTCAAAAGTTTTTGAATTTGTCACCTCATTGCTTCCTTTGTTTTTCCTCTTTGCTAACTAGTTTTCCTTCACTATCTTTGATTGGTTTCGTCTGCATTGATCTCTTCCCCGATAGTAACCTGGTTATTTGATATAATATTGTCAGGTCTCTCCTTCCAGAAGCAAAATGTATGGATGAAATTTATTAATACGAAAAACAACTGTTCAAGGGTGTTCAAAAAGCAGAACCTGCATTAATTCTTCCTGGATAAATAAAGCTACTATACACAAGAAGGGATTATCAAAGATGAGTTTATTCAGAGAAAGAAATGAAAAATTGATAACGTTACATATCAGTTTATTTATGTTACAGCTGATGAAGAGTCACAACTGCTTTCTCTTCACCTATGGTCTCTGGAAGAGTTTCGCGGTAAGCAAACCTAACAGGAGCCTTAAAATGTGCAGGCGCTTTGTTCCTATTCATATCAGCGCTGATCCATTCAACAAGGTCATTTCTAAATGTCCTTTAGAAGTTAAACGTTATGACCTGCAAGATTGTTTATTCACTTCATACCAAAAAGCCATATAGATCCCATTTTTCATATAGTAATAGATTCGTGTAAATAACCAGTTTATATATCAATACCATTTGTTTTCAAACCTCTAGTAAAATTTACGATCATGTGAATTTATAAATAAATACAGCAAAAGTAATCTAATTCTATCTGGATGTATTTTAGTATGATATAAGAAGTTTTTGGTAAAATCTCTGTTTTTCTTTAAAATTTATCTTTGGAAAAATTGGAACTGTATGAAGGAATTACGAAAAGTAAGTCCTAGTGTTCATTTATAATTTTACAAATGGAACTTGAATTTTTTTAAACAGCGTAATGAGAAGATGAAGATTATCTGAAACATGTCGTGATGTATTAGCGCTATACATTTCGAACAATCTGATCACACATGGACTTGTCGAACTATTTATATGAAAATTTATGAAAAGGTCAATGAAGTTAATGTTAAGTCATTGTCTAGTCCAATACAAACGTCGTTTAGTCAGATGCTTATTCAACAGGATAAACCGTATCTGCACCGATGACACCAGGGGGGAAGAAGCCAACTTACTGACGACAACTCTGATACAGAATGGATACCCGTTGAGATTTATCGACCGGTGCAAAAGTTATATACCATTGAAAAGTACACAATGTTCCGTTGCTAAGAAAAATGTCTACATCTCATTACCATTTAGAGGTGATTCACATAGCTTTGTTGTGAGGAAAAGACTTAAATCGGCCATCTGTAAAACGTATTATGCAGCTAAGGTCATCATTGTAGAGAAGACCAAGTCCATGTTACAGCACAAACCGAAACAACATATAAATGATTACATCATATCCCACTGTGTTTATCAATTTACATGTATGTGTGGACACACATATATAGGGAGGAGTAATCGTGATATGCAGTTAAAGAAGGCTGAACATGTACCTAAGTGGCTACAAAAACAAATGACCTCAACAGATCCGATAAGTGCAGGTGACAAACATCCATCTTCGTCTATCGCTAAACATTTACTAGGAACTAACCATAGGATAGACATGAAAACAGCTTTTAAAGTACTACATAAAAGTGGTCAGAGCCGAGTGCTTAAATTTATTGAAGCTCTTGCCATCCGTAAATTTAAACCCACTTTATGTATACAAAAACAATTTGTACTCACATTGAACCTACCTTGGTAGTATTGATTTTAATTTTCATACCGAGAATAAGGTTTTCAAAACAATTAGTTCCCTTTATTTGTGAAAACTCAAATCAGGCTACTTCAATTCTAAACCGACTGAACGAAATACAGAACAGCATATCTTTGACATGTGTAAGAGAGGAAGATGACTGCTTGCCGTTCCTAGTTATATTAATTAGTCGAAGGCAGGATGGATCCATAAAACGATCTATCTACAGAAAACCTACATGGACAGGGCAATATCTGAATTACCATAGCTTTTGCCCAGTTCAGTACAGGCGAACGTTAGTAAGGTGCTTATTCAGCAGAATTCAACGAATACGCACCGAGGATACTTTAGAAGATGAAAGAGGAACACTGATCGATATTTTGTTGAAAAATAACTATCCATCAACATTTATCAGGCAGAACAAAGTCAGCAGAGCGTCAAAACTAGAACTACAGTCAGTCCCAAAGAAGGACGTCTTCATCAGCCTTCCGTACAAAGGTGACTCTCAGAGTGCAATCCTTAAGCAGAGACTTAACGCTGCTGTTAGAAGGACTTACTATGCAGCCAGGGTTCGAGTAATCGAAACCACGAAGCCCTTATATTCCCCCAAACCCCCACAGCATGTGAACGATAATGTCACATCCCATTGTATCTACCAATTCAAATGTACGTGTGGTGACACATACATAGGGAGGACTAATAGATCCATGCAAGTAAGGGCCTCGGAACATATTCCAAAGTGGCTTCAGAAGCAAATTAAATCACCTGAACCTATAAATGTTGGTAGCAGACGTCCAAGTTCTTCGATCGCTAAACATATCGTTGAGACAGGTCACAAGATTGATGTGGTTACTTCCTTCACACCTATTTACAAAACATGTTGGGGAGGGATCCTGAAATTTGTTGAAGCCTTAGCTATTAGGAAGTTGAAACCACCTTTATGTATTCATAAACAAGTTGTTGTCACATTAAACCTTCCTTGGTAAATTCAACTATTGAAAAACCAAGTTCGATGTACTATTACATTTTCGCTCTATTGATTTTGATTGTTATTCGGCCTTCCTACCTGACCCCTTTGTATTTTCTCACCCCTTATCTTCATGAGTTTTTATATAAATACCTATGACAAGTACGTGTGTGATCAGATAGTTCGAAATGTGTTGCGCAAATACATTACACGGTTCAGACAATTTACATCTTCTTATTGTTTTGTCGAAATAAGGTTTTCCTTTTCTATCCCTTCCTATTCCTATATTTCCCATTAACTTCATTGACCTTTTCATAAATTTTCATATAAATAGTTCGACAAGTCCATGTGTGATCAGATTGTTCGAAATGTATAGCGCTAATACATCACGACATGTTTCAGATAATCTTCGTCTTCTCATTACGCTGTTTAAATTTATCAAAGGGACCAGTTGCTTTGAATTTATTTGTTGAAATGTATCATTCTTGCATAATTGGATATCTCTACTTTATTTAAATTCCTTTCTTGTTAACTTTCATAGACATATGAAAATCTACAAGACAAGTAGTATATATCAAACTAAACTGAATGTAATCATATACACCAACTTGATTGTTCTATAAGTATTTCCTGTTACAGTCTAGTAAAGTCCAGATAAAGTGAAGGCTCACAGTGAAGCGTTGTAGGTATACTTAGAGTCCTGGAAGCAGTAAATAATACCTTGTACTGAATGCTTCCTCAAATATCTACAGGTTATACAAATGATATCAATTGTTCGTGATAGGTGTTAATGTATTTAGAATGGATTTCAAGTTTTCATCATTTATTAATGCGTGTAATTCCCTGTTATAGGATCGAATCGAAGTAACTGAACACTACTGGCATATTGACCCGTATGTGAATGCCTTGAAACTGCTTAAGAATTAATTACGTTATTTTTTTGCTTGATATTGGCTAGCCATGAATGTATCTAGCTGAAAAAGGTCTGAAACAGCACGAAATTGTACATTCTGGATTCCATTAGTGGTCACCACTAGGCAAATCTCTACAGAGTTCAGTATCAAACTCTAAAACTGATCGTGAGGATAAAATGCATTTAATAGAGCCAGGATATACAAGAATTAAATACTAAAACAAGAAAGCAATACATTACAGATTTTTAATACATCAATAATTTCAGGCAAATTGAAGAGCTGAAAGCAACTTTGGAATGTGAACGTATTCGTCGTGAGAAATTAGAAGCACGTTTAGATGAGTCAAGACGTGAAGTTGCAAAGTTAAGCATGCAGTTGAATGAAGGTGGTCAGGATCAATATGACAGTAATGTAAGATTACTAAGAAAATTACAATGATTATATATTATTGTCCCTTTCATTATAACTTATTTGCTGTAATATACTGAAGTAAGACGAAGTAGTCTAATGGCTGATCATTGTGAAAACTGGTACTTTACGTTTTTAAGCCTTAGTCTAGTTAACGTAAAGTATAGTTTAAATGCTCCAGAAGATTTTGATTTCACCGATCACTTGTGTCTAATGTCACACAGACTAGAAGATCTACAAGCAAAATTCAACAAGTTGAAAGAAGAGGTAGGGCAGCCAAGGAAGACGGGACTTCAAGTGAACGTAAAAAAGATAGAGGTGACGATAATACCCAACCACCACCACCACCACCAACTACAACAACAAGAAAAAGTTTCAATCACTATCAACGGGAGGAACTTGAAGGAAGTAGCCTCTTTCACCTACATCTTCCTAGACAGTCAGAATCGTTTCAACTACAGGTGGCATAGGCACAGACGAGGATGCCAAAGCCGGGATCAAGAGGACAGCAAGACAGGTGTTCATTAACCTGAAACCAGTGTGGAGATCTTCTGCACTGCACCCAGCACAAAGCGTGAACAACATCTGGATTTTCAACACCAATTCAGTCAACTCAGTGCTTCTATATGATTCAGAGACCAAGGGAGAGCTACAAAAAGCGTTTCCGACAAACTACAGATATTCATCGACAACTGCCACCTAAGCTCACTTGATAGTGAAGATGAGGTGGCCAGAAAGAATAAGCAACAAGGAACTCTGTCTGGTGGGCTGGCTGACTGACAACGAACCAACCAAGAGGCTATCATCTGAAAAATATTCAGAAGGAAGTGGAGATGGGTTGGGCATGCTCTAAGAAGGTTGACTGGGTCATCACGCGCCAGGCCAGTCACTCGAGTAGAACCTCGATGGGAAGCGATGAGTTGGTCGTCCGAGGGTGACATGGAGGAGATCGTGTAAGGAAGAAATGAGATTATCTGGGCAGTGGTGGTGCCAGGTTCAAAAGATTGCAGCAAAGAGAGTGAAATAGAGACGTGGTACTGAAGGTGTACGTTTCATTAGGAACCCAAGGGACAAATAATATTATAATAATAGTTCAAATGCACTGATGAATAACTAACATTAGTTGTTTGCTAGATGACAACCACATGACCAACGGATGGAGAAATCTTTATATATAACAGTGTCGAAACACAAAAGTTCATGTAACCTTAGAACAAACAGCACATAAAAGTAAAGTTTATCGAAATGGGAGCACAGTTAGATAGACATAACTGTCTACTAGGAGTGAGGATAGACAGAGGAAGATAAACATTGTGTTCGGTATTTCAGCTAATGGAAAACAATTAATCTTAATTACATAATGTCAAAGTTTTCACTCATATTAATTTCCGGGATATGCTTTCTATGACGAAATAAGCAGATGCAAGTACATAGATGTTCAAGTAAGAAAATTGGTTATGAGCTTTAGCAAAACACTCTTTTTAACGGGTAAGTATATGTCTAAGCTACACTAACAGTTTAGGGGTAACAGTCATGGTACAAACTGGTGTTCAATTTCCTTTTGAATTGTCAAAAATATTAAAAGTAGGTTGCAATACTTTTGCAGAAATACACTGGATGTATTACAGTATTTTCATCCTAATAGACTCATTCATGCGCATCACACTCTAAAGATAATGTAATCTATTACGACCTCTTAGCCATGTAGCATGATAATATACATTTATTTGGTTAGATATTGTAAACTCATATTTCCTAAGTGTTCATAGTTATCAGGAGACATATTTGATACGGCTAGAAGACCGCAGTAAGTTAAAAATCTAGTCAGTTATCTCCAGAGATGAATTATATGATTCAATGTTTGAGTTACTCTTGAAGTAGACCTACTTATGGCAAAACAGTGAAAAAAACAGCGTTTTAACATTGTCATAATATAAGTTCATTATTAAATAAAGATAACCTACAACATGTACAAGTCACCAAATTTTCGATTTCATAATTTGAAAGATATAGTAATCGTAATCCTTTGTTCACGACATAATCAGTAGGAGGGTTTGAAATCAAATTGACTGTAGGGTAGATATCCAGTTCACCAACGTTATCCTACGAATGTCGACAAAATTGGCAATAACTCGGTGAAGAGAGAGAGAGAGTTGAATATTTTTTTTAGATTCAAAACAGTTTTTCATTTATTTTATAGATCACAGTTAAACCAAGAGGTCAAGTTACTCAAGATTTACAAAGCATCAAAAGAATGAACAAATTTGAAGACAGTACAAGTAGTGTTAGCGCCAGTACATACAGCAGTAGATCGAAAACAAATGATAGTTTAAAGGCTAAAAGATTAAATTAATTACTTCTCCAACTAATCAGGATAAAACATTATCAGATAATAAGTTATTCGATTGTGTACATGAACAATTCTTAGAAAACAATTGACGTTGAAGAGACGTAGTGAATTTTTGTATTTCCATTACATTATGAACTATGCATCTAATTCAAAAGGATAGAGTTAAACACACTAAAGATAATTGTATCATTTGCTAGCCGTTTAAAGCTTTTTCTAAGTAAACTAATCTATTTGTTCACTGATATTTGTTGTGTATGATGCTGAAATCGGCTGTCTTTTACCATTAACAATAAAAACACTTCATTGACACTCGTTTTCGATTTGATACAAAGAAGATGATCATAGCTATTTACTGCATACTAACAAGTAGTCACTAGAGTGTACATATTTGTTTGTTGAAAAGATATCTATTGATTCAATGTTAGCAGTAACGTTTCAGCCCTCATTTAGCATTTAGCTGAATGTATTCAACCTCCTTACAAATAACGTTTTATTCTTTTCATCTCATTCTGTTCCATCATCATCAGTGTCTTCGCCTATCCTATTCCTTATTACATTAAGTCAGTTTGCAGTTTTGTAGCCTCATTCACCCATTTTATTGTTCAAAATCATGAATCTAATGAACACCTTAAATGATTAGTTAGTTGGCTAATTAGCCACATAATTAGTTAGTCAGTTAGTTAGCGAATTATTTATTTATTTAGGTTGATGTACCATAAAATGCCACTAGAATTTACGATTAATGAACTCTAGGAAGATGATGTACTCGCTCAGTTGTAAATTACACTTACATAGCCTTCTAATCTTCGTTGCAATTCTTTATGTCTCTGGAAGTTTATCGATGACATATCATTTCTAAAATCTTTCTATCTAAAAATGTGAATATAACTTCTCAGAAGAATAATACCTGTACTTCATTGGGATTTAGTAAATATACTTCCTTTGTAGTTCATTTAGCCAATACTCAGTTTATTCCATTGTGTTTCGTCAAATTTTCATCCTTATGTTCATATGATTATGAATGTTTCTCTCTACAGTCTTCAGCTGAACACAGTCCGTTGATAAACCAATCCTATGAATCTACAAAACTTATACATACCAGCTAAATGTGTATTGTTACTTGTTCGAAATATGGAGCATAGAGTACAAGGTCAAGTGTACAATTCAAACGCAATACTGTTGCCTAGCCTTCATGAACCATTGGAACGCTTATTAACGAAGTCTGTATTTCCACGATCAATTATTTAACCCGCCGCACGGGAATAACTCGGTATTCTTAAGCTTAGTTCTAATCAGATCCATTTGTGAAGACAATTTAGAAGTCAGCTTTCTGTAACAATTTATAATGAATAAGCTAGGGTTATTGTAACGTTGATAGTGAGCTTCTTTCCTGGAAAAATTAACAAGAAAAAAAGTCATAGATAAAAGTATCAACAGTAAAGTCGAATGTAATTGATGAAAATTTTAGATGGCAGAGAAAATTTACTTGAGAGACAACGTATAAACTGCAAAACTTCAAGAGAATTACTGAGATCAGCATGAGTTGAACTTTAGTAAAAAGAGTTTTAGAGTTAGTTGATACCTGGAAATTTTCACAGCTAAGTATAAAACTGTAAAGCGTGAAAGTCTTAAAAACCATAGTTTTGAAAGAAGGAGGGCCTTCATTTGCCCTGTATCCAAGGTATATTCATCAAATGAACGGATATATTCGAAGAACAATGAAGCCTTGAAGTAAACGTTCTCCTAGAGTTAGACGTGTGACAGTATATGACATCGTTTGCTTACTGGAGAAAATCAAATTGGATAAAAATTCTGCTTATGTGACCTCCAGCTGCATTGCGCTGGTGCTCTGTCAACTGAACTACAATACGTGACTGTTGACCAGATTGTTATTTCATCTCAAACACCAAGGACTTGCCAAACCACCATATGAATTCGTGATTGGTTACAACAGTTTGATTGTAGAGCACCGGCCTGAGAACTGGATGGTTACTGGTTAGAATCCCATCATTGGTGAAGTTTTCGTTTCACCTTCAGTCATCAGCCAGTTTCAATACCAGTCTGCCAAACCATGGCTATCCCAGGTAGTCGAAATGAATATATATATATATATATATATATATATATATGTAATAGCTCACCGGTATGTGGCATTGACTGCGGTGAATAAGCCGCCGGATGATTAGCGTATTCTAAAGGAAAAATTGTGGATAAGAACGTGTTATACCTTCAGTGTTATTCACTTCAGTGGGTGTTGATTGCAAAAATCTTTGCGAAAAATAATATTCAAGAATTTTTGGCCGTGATTTTTGAATGAATAGATTCTTTGTTAAGAACGTCTATTATCAATTTGAAGGAATGTGTAGATTTATTGATTTCAGGGTGACATTCATCACGTACTGACATAAGTTGGAGAACTAGTGAAAATCTGACAGGACTGTTCAACTGTTTCATCTAAGTATGGGACTTTCATTTTCTTGAACTTGCACTACCTATTTTTTGGTCAAAAAACCATTTATTTCCTCAGTGATGTTGTATGCCTCGTATTGAATAAACACCTTTATTTTATACCACTGAGATTAGAGGTGAAAGACTGTTGACTGATTGCCTGAGCAGAGTTTACATCTAATAGATTCAACTGAAATAACTTATAGACATCAGTAATTACTGTACTGTGAAGCAAACACATGCTTATCAACTAAAGTGTATGACCATCGAAACAGTATGACATATTGTATCAAAAGGACACCTCAACATAGTAGTGAAGAGCAGCGACTGGATTTTTGATTACTATGAATATCTGATCATTTTTTACTGATTCTGATCTGCAGTTTATCTTCTAAACTGTAATGGAAAACAACCCGCATGGAATGATTCTCATTCGTAGATGTGTGTACATTACATCACTAACGATATTTTCTTATTCACAATCAAGATTCTCTCACATATATCAGTTAGTGCAGTCATGCATGCAGACAGACTTCGATAACAGCCTGATCAAAATTTCAGTGGCGGTTTCGATGAAACTGTGCTATTACAGCAGCCAATATGGCAGTAGAAACGAGATGTTGAATATGTATTCTTGCATAGAAGATATTCTACATGTAAGAGTGATATACATGTGTATGCTGACGACATGAAGAAAAATTCATAGCATTTGCTTCTGATGTACTCTATGAATTAAGTCAGAAGACGTTGGGAGTTCCAAACCTCCCAAAGAATATCATTTTCCTCAAGGATACTTAAGCAGCTGACTTACGAGTCCCAATATCCACGAAACCAATATCAAGCTAGACTTCGCTGCGATTGCCTTCAACTGAGTAACATACTGGAGTAGGCCTCTCAACTCTTAACATCTATCGACCAAATGAGTGTGTGGAGTGGTTCCTTCGAAAGAATCAATCATCGTCATTAAGCCAGGATATACTGGAGAAATAAAATGAGGGGCAAAATCACCAATGTGTTCCATTTCACAGGCGAATGAAGATTTCAGCAATTGTTAGTAGCTAGTGACTGCATAAACACATACTACTTTTCAAGGATAGGTAGGAAACCAAGTAGAGTTTCATAGTCACACACCTACGCATTAACAAAACATTCACCATGCTTGATAGATATGTTAGTTACTTAATAACAATAAGAAAATTTCATACTCTTAAGAATTCAAATATTTTACTTTATTTATATACTTCACTTAAACTCACCTGATTCGCTGAAAGAAGAATCACAATCAAGCATATACGGAAAGGATTTACGGCGAACTGTCAGTTAGATAATGCGTGTTTAGTATTCCAGCAGTTGTGATTTGTTGAACTTAACTGAACAAATTCCTATGATATGCCGTGTCAAACTCTCTTTTATCAGTTTACCTGAACATATGAAATAACTGATTTCTGAAGTATCAAGATGATTGTATCTGTGCACTTTATGAAATACTCTTCGAGAATTTCAAGCGAAAATGTTAGTCAAACAAACCTGACATTCTTTTTAACACCAAATGTTTATTAGTTAAACTATGATGAACAGGTGGGAAACTAATTTCAAATAACCAATTGTAGTACACTGAGGTTTGTTAGATATTATAGGATCCATGTAGATCCTGGCTTTACTACCCGGATAGCAGTAGGGATGAATCTTTCTTATTCATAATGATGCAGTTTAGGAGACACTGAATTTTGTTTTCTGATTGTGCTACCTTCGATCAAAAATAATTTGAATAATGCTCACTTCCGCATTCGTCTTATCACTCAATCGCCTACATTTTTCACTCTCCGCTTATCTGATAAAACAACGATTCATCTACTTCAGTATTCCAGGAGTTAATGAATGTGTTCCTAACAATAAATGTTACAGTTATGCGGTTCACAGTTTGTTATTTATGTTCATTAGAAATCAGAATGTGAGAATAACATACCTTCATTATTTCTTGTGTTGGAGAAAATAATAAACGGTAAATTACTTCTCTGTATGAATATAACCTTATTTGGTGTTTTTCTGCTTGAAAATAATACTAATCGACTCTCATTAAATATGAAGATCATTCATTTGAGAGAAACAATTTAGACAAAAATGAATGTTTCATACCAATGGCTTAATATTCCATTACTAAGCTTATGTACTGAGTGAATACTTTCAGCTTTCATAATATAATTGTATTCAGAGATTCGAGTGATATTCACTAAATTAGCCTTAAACACTAGGCAACAATTTTACAGTAAAACCATTTCAAATTCTATAGCCGTAGACCTATTGATGCAAAGTTTTAACAGAACATTCAGGTGTCATTGAAAAAAACAATAAAATATTTTAGCGACAAACTGTTTTTCAAATGAAAATGGTACGGAGAAGTTTTGAAGGTGGTTGCTGATTCGCCACTATCCAATATCTATCATGACGTTTTACCGATAATTGGAAAAAGAGCGATATAGATGAAACAAACTCTAGTGAATGAAAAATACCTACATCTTATCAAGTAGTGAAATAATGACATGGAACTCTGAATACTAGAAGGACCATACGTTACAAAGCATATCGACTTACCTTTCCAGCTGAAGAATGAAGTTTTTCATTAGTGAAAATGCTTTGAAATGGGATATATAATAATTAGGAAGAATAGTAAATCGAGGTGAAGTCGGTATACCTGTATGTCTTGCGAATAGTAGGTTAAATAAGCAAGCGTGAAATAAGCATTTATGGTCATAACAGTCCCTCGTCACCTATCAGTCAGGCTTGACAGTTAATAACGCATATTAGCCACATAAAATATTCAAGTAAATTTCAAGAAATCCTCACTCACCTTTAAAACCTCC